CCGTACGATAAAAGATGTTCTTTTCACAGTGCATTTTTACACATTTTTGATCAATACGCTCGCGAAATACGCATTTTGCGGTTGCGTCAGTTTGTACAGCATCATGCGCGTTTGCACCACCGCCCATGCAGATATTCGTACTACATCGATGTGGCATGCAATCTCCTACTGCCGTTTTGTCAAATTTCGTTCGGCCGATATTTATTCGAGCCAGTGCCAATCACGCTTCCGCTAAAACCCGTCCGGGAAAAAGGTCAAATAATTTCGTAGATCGCAGTTAAATGAAAATTAATTTTGAATATAGACGTGAATTCGATTGAAACAAAATTCATGTACCTATCACGATCCGATTAAAACTCGCAACATCTTCGCTGACGCATCTCGAAAAGCGAAGGTATTCAGAATGTATACCTATAATATGATTCTACATTAGAATCAGTCTAGACACAACACGAATTGTAAATATATCTGAGAACGACACATCTGACAATGAGTTCGACGAGAATAGCAATAAATCGAAGCAATAAGCATAATCAAGTAAATAAATACAGCGAGTTTTGTATTATAAATCGAAATAAATGTCCAACTGGAGGGGTAAAAACCACAGTGGTGTATGTCAAATTTTTTAAAAAATTTTTTTCTCGTGTGTAAATTGCATCTATGCACAATATTTTTAAAAATTTGACTTACACCACTGTGGTTTTTACTCCTTCAACTGTGCTATTGTAAAGTGTGAGCTTTCGCCAAATATTTATCGTAAAATCTCTATACATACGTGTTTCATGTAGAAAATTGTACACGTTTAAATAAAATTTTCGAAGAATGCAATCGAGAAATACTCAACATTTAAATAATTTGATTTAATATTTCGCAATAGCAAATTTTCTTGAGAAAAAAAAACACACAAGTTTCTTTATGTAATAATTGTTATGCTCGGAATAATTCTTCCTAAAAACTTATATCAACAATAAAATTATTTCGCATTTGCACCAAGAATATGGTAAGGTATCGTCAAGAGAGTATAAAATAATAACTTGCTATTGTGAAATAATAACTTCTTTCGAAGAAGGAATTATATTGTATTCTGGAAATTGAAGAAAATGTAATAGCAAAAGAAGAGAATATATCTTTACAGATGTATCGATATATCGTGTCTGTCTCTTACAAAATAAATGTCGATATTTCATATCTTAACTAAAAGTTTTGCATGTGCACTCTTGATATTTTACTATCTCGGGAATACAGAGGAGAATGTAGAATAAATGGAGGCAAAAGATACATCATTGGGGCTTTGGCTTTGGTCCAAAAAAGACTCGACAACTTCGTCGATGGTGTTTCCGACCGACTAGGAAAATAGAAAAATACGCTTCTTCATTCGCTGTTCTGCGTTTATGTACGCTTCAATAATAAATATAGTTGCAACAGAGTTCGTAATTGAATACACTGAAACGGGGAACAAAACGCAATGCGATTATGTGATAATTAATAAATGATATTAAAATTCAGAATGATAAAACGCGAAGAGGAAAATGAGCGATCGGAGTATCACGAAGAGTCATTAAGTTTTTAACTGCAGATTAATGAACGTCGAAATATAATAACTCGTATGTATACAAAATGACATTTGTATTTATTCACAAACTAGTGAAATTAATTCATTCACTGATAAAGCCACGTTCATGGCAATTAATGCAGCTATATGCAATATGACGTCTATTTCGAGTATGTGTACTTTGGGGGGGGAGGGGAATGGATCAAATTCGATCGCTAATATATAAGCCATATAAGCTAATTTAGGTATTTCCGCTTATGCTATTGATTTCATCGTTCGTCCATGTAACACGGATTCCACTTTTAAAATGGAGATTGCAGTATGATTGCCTGATGGGCCGCGCACCACAAATTGAGGTAGCCTGTACTCGATATCGATTTTCTTTGAAAATTCAGTATATAACACGATTAACGGGGATCTACGGTAATTGCAATTTTAACCGTAATTAAGCAATGCACGATGAAAATTGAAATGAACCGCTGTGCAAAAATAAATATTGCTGAGAATATTGAAACTCTTATTTCGAGCAAATTGTTTATTGTTTTATTAAATTTTTACATCGCATTGATTATTATTATTATCATTATTATCATTATTATTATTATTATTATTATTATGTATTTATATATAGATATTTCTATTCCATGATCCAATCATGATGCAATACGATGATTTTAATTATTAATTGCTCTCATATAAAATTATAAATTGTAGTAACGTAACAATCTATAATTATTTCGATATATAAAAATTTGTTTGACATTTAAAATTTATTATCCCCAATTTAGTCTTTTATAATAATGCTAATTATGAGAGAACGAAATATTTGCTAAATCAAGTTATAATTTTTTCGACTGTGTGATAAGCTCAAATATGAAATAGGTCTTATTAGCCAGATATTCATATTTCCGAGGCATGTTGAAATGCATACTTCCGTCTGTATACAGATGCACGCTTTCCAGTATGAAATGAGATTACCAGTCTATATTTGGAGAATTTTTACGAGTGGCCGGACTGGTCGGGCATATGGGGATTATGTAGGTGAAATACGAATGAGAGCATTCGTTCTTCTCTTTCCTTTTCTCTTTTAGTTTGTAGCTTATGCAAACAAGTTCGTTCCGGTCTTGGCTGGGCTCGAAAATACAGCCGAAAAGATTTTATATTTAAGCAAAATCTAAATCATTTGTGAAAGTCTATTTCACTATATACTGTAAGCGATAAATTTATCTCTCGTTCTAACATTTTAGTTCTAATTTTGGATGAGATTTGCCATATATTTTTCACTTGCCTCTCTTGGATCGGTTTTCTTTTCTCTTATTTTTTACAGTAATATAATATAATTTATAATTTGCATATAATTATTTCCATAGTAGTTGATGAGAAATACATACGGCCGTGGAGTGGTCTTAGACGATCAGTACTATATAATTTAGGCATTTATATAGGCACGTATAATTGGGACAGCTTTTAGTCAATCGTAATAAATGGCAACGAATGTAAAAGTGTTTTTGGTCACGATTAACATTCACATCCTCGCCGATCGCGAAAGTTTATTGATATGTTTGTAGGCTACGTGCCAACTCGAACGAAATTTCACCTTCTCGCGCTTTATCGAAACGGAAGTAACGGACGAACACTTTCACGAGCTCTTCCGAAACGCGCGGAACTTACACGGAGAGCTCGTGTCGGATCGTGTCGATCGATGATACTTTATTCCAGGTAAGGAAACGGCACTTATTTCAAGCTTCGATGATATTTGGTAGTACAATCGCGGTAATTATTGCAAACGAGACTCGAGCTGTAACAGGAAGTTAACGCATTATTCAAAGCAGTTTTCGATGTCATTGGTGTTAGTCACGCGATGCAGGGCACATGTTATCGTGTCCGTACTGTAAATCAACTTCTAATTGCTCGAATCCCGCGTCCGCGCAATAAAAGCTCCGAACTTTCTTTCATCGTTAGAACATTATCATGATAATAAAAATATGTTCCCTCTAATCGGCACAAAAATTCTACAACGCTTACATATTTTTTACTTTCAAGTCATTTTTCCCAAAAATCAGATTAATTGCTTCAAAATCAATACGCATGAATTAGAGCCCAGAAACGTTGATTTTGAAATAAAAATATTAAAGTTCTAGCAGTTGAAGATATAGTAAAGTTGATTATTCAATCGTTAAACCATAAAATTACGTCATTCTTATTCTTTTTCTCTTCTCTTCCTCTACTAATATACAAGTTAGAAAAAATCATTTATCTGCTACATTGCAGTGAGAAAAATTTCTTTATAAATAAATTTTGCTATGTGCCGCTATCGACGCGCACAATTTCGATTAGCGACGGTTAAAGAAACACGTGATGAGCATCTCGGAAATACCCAATTTGTCCTACTAGAGGCGAGTGCTATTACAGCTCACACGTCGTTGCATCATCTCCTGCATTCATCGACGTATCAATTTTAACCCGCCAATCGTGCACCCAAGCCTCTATCGATCCGTCGCCATTATCGCAATCATTCCTCGAATCACTTGCTCGTCTGTCGCCTTCGCCCAATCATTCCACATTAGGCAACATTTATCGTACTAATAGTATCAATCGAGCGATACAATCAGACATAATCAGACATGGCACCAGTGTATATTTCGTAAAGTACGTCGCACTGCTGGACGCTTGCATCGTGCAAGTACACAGAAAAATATCATGCAGTGTGCTTTAGTTCATCGGTTCGACCGTGAAGTTGCATCGTTTTGCGCGTAGAGTGGTGAGTGGTGAAAAGAACATAATTTTTCAGAAATAACGATTCAATTTTCTAAATTGATCGGTGTATCCGTTGTGATTAATCCTTTCTCGTAATATCACTATTATATAAATATTAAAATTTTCTTATGTATATTGTATAAAAAATCACTTCTTTTGATATTTTATCGGAAAGTTGGCATATCTTATCGCGTGCTATTTCATATCAGTTTATCATTTAGTGTATTATATTGTACAAACAAAAAAGATAAACGTGCGCGAAGTGTTCGTGAATAATGTGAACGACTTTTAAACCGAAAAGCCATTCTTATCGAGATAAAAATTCAAGAGAGACTCTCATCTTGGAATTTTTATGTTTTATTGGAAAAACCTGAATTTCATACTGTTCTCCGGCATACTAATTCTTCGAAAAGACTTTCAATTTTTTAGTCACATTGCTGAAAATTGCGGCGTTTATTTTTCGCGACTCACCCCGCGCGCGCGCATCGATCACCGCGCGACTGATAAAAAAACACTCCTGTTAAAACGTCGCCGCGTGTGGCGGTGCTCTTTAGGGATTCCAAGCTCGTCGAGGTTCGTCCAGTACGTGCCGTTCGTCAATCGCGGAGTTTCGCCCGCGACGATCGACCAGTCGTTGCAGCGACCAGTTCCCGCCGGACGGTCGCCCGGAATCATTCGCAGTCGCTCCTTCGCGCGATATCACGGTCAAGGTGGAGCTTCCGACGGTTCTAAGATGACGACCACCAACCAGGCTGGTTGTCCACCAACCTGGAGGATTTTCACGATACTTCTATTAGTCTGCGAGTTCGCCGCGGCCGCGAACACCCAGACGTTCGTCGTGAGCAACACCGTAGACAATCAGATCGGTAGAGATTTCTTCGTGGGGCCCTGCCTGGTGAACACCAATCAGACCTGCCCCGATGAAGAAGTGACGTTCTTTCTCTACACCAAGCACAATCCAGATGAGGGACAGCAATTACTTGTAAACGACACCGGCTCAAATCTCGACGATACCAACTTCGTGGCAGCGATGCCCACGAAGATCATCGTGCACGGTTACAATTCGGACATGCAGCTGAGTTACTTGGTGGATATTAGAAAAGAATATTTGAAGAGGGGTAGCTACAATCTAATAGCAGTCGACTGGCGTCGTTTGGCGGGAGCACCGTGTTATCCCGTGGCCGTCCACAATGTGCCTCACGTGGGCGACTGTCTGGCACAGCTGGTCGACCGTCTGAGGGACTACGGTGCCGAGGACATCCACGTGATTGGCTTCAGTCTGGGCGCCCACGTACCGGCTTTCGCAGCCAACGCGTTACGACCGTACAAGCTACCGAGGATCACCGGTCTCGATCCGGCGATGCCGCTCTTCGTTACTGTCAGCAAGGACGAGAAGCTCGACGCTAGCGACGCCGAATTCGTCGACGTGTTGCACACAAATGCCTTCATTCAGGGTAAAATCGAACCGAGCGGTCATATCGACTTTTACATGAACGGCGGAGTCAATCAACCTGGTTGCTGGGAGCAGGGAAATCCCTTCGGATGCAACCATCACAGAGCGGCGGAGTACTTCTCCGAGTCGATCAACTCGAAAGTCGGTTTCTGGGGCTGGCCCTGTTCTGGTTTCGTAGCTTATCTCCTGGGTCTCTGCCCGCCTCGATTCCCCGCGGTACTGATGGGCGAGGATGTCAACAGGAAGTATCGAGGTTTTCATCTGGTGAAGACGAGGGCGCATAGCCCGTACGCGGATGGAATGTTCACGGTCGAGGATTTTTACCAGCAGAATCTTTATCAGTGATCCTCTGTGTTAACACCACCTCGCGTGTCGAGATGATCTCGATGGTGCAAAGTATTTTTTTTTTCGAGAAAAGTATTGCAAGTTATTCAACCGTAGTGAATAGAATACTCCGAATAGAATATATTCAAAGATACATATCAGTATGAGGGAAAAACATATATGTGTACGTTGCGTAAATTGACGCATAGTATTTGCTTAAAACTTTAAGACGGTGTTATGTAATCTATAAGTAGGTTATTCTTAAAGATAGTGTGATATAATTTACTACAAATAGGTAAAATCTTTGTAAGATCTTATCTAAAAATTTATTTAGTTGAGGATATGAATAGAAACTAGTTACTGTATTATAGTTTATGATAATATTACTGTATACCGTAAGTGCAAAATGTGAATGAAAATGGAACTGTATTTCGACATATTTGAAATATGACAGAAAAGAAGAGAACACGATAACTGAAAGAAACAGTGATAGAAGTAACAAACTTGGATATTAATTGATATATTTTTATTTATCGGTTCGATTGCATTAGTTGAACAAAATCAACGATTAATATTGGGCGGAATCTCGTGAGGCGTTTCAGCTTTGAAACACGTTACGAGCTCACGAATTTAATGCCGCGCGAGAAGATCTGCTAGCATGTCAAGGTCAGATAACTGCCTGGACCTGTTAATCGATATCTTGCACAACCAGAGTAGTGGGGCAAACAGGATCGCGACGTGCTACAATTTCTTCTCGATCCAATACTACAATGTATAGCATTCAAAAAAAAAAAAAAAAAAAATTTAATCGTATCTGTCCATCTAAATCAGTCCATCTATCTTCTGTTTATCTATCTATCAAGTTATCCGCCTGTTTCAATTGTTTCTCTTCTGACGCATTGACGCGGTGACAATACACTGTCAAGCTTCAATATCGCTAAATTTGTAGGCTTGCGAATCTAGCGTTGGATTTTCCTAATTAATCTTGTTTCTCTATTTATTATTCCATAAGTATTCTTCAGTAATGAACAAATATACGACTGCTTCTTATATTAAATATATGTATCTAACATATCTGAATATATGTGACGTAACTGGTTTAGAAATCAAATGTGAGTCAATTGAGAGTAATGCAATATGTTGCGGAAAATTTTCTGTGCGAACCTTTTGTGATTTTATCTTTCTATTTATGTCTTCGTTGTCGAGAGACTATATATCTACTATCAAAGAAATGATAGCTCTTGCTATACTGAAAGTCCGGAAACCTTATGAACTGATCCTGTTAGGTTCTCGAGAATTGATCTCGGGAGAATAAAACTTATTGCCTTTTGGTATATGAAAGACATTTCCAAAAAATATCGCATAAATGTAGCTTCGCGATTATTTTTATCTTAACTTAGTTTTCGCAGAAATATTTTTGTTATATTGAAATTTTATTTTTGTTAAGTTTTGCGATAATAATATATAAATCATTATTTTGTTAGTTCTTTTACCCGTGTATTATTACATTTATAATATAAAATATTTATTTGATATTTATAATAGTCATGCCATAATTAATATTTAATATCATTAATATTTAAAAATAAAATAAATAAAATTTAAACAAATGCAAATCAATCTAATTTATTTAAATGTCTGGCAAGTAACTTTAGATATTTTATTTTCAATAAATATCAAATAAGATACTCGATATTAATGAATAAAAATTTGATTAGATGTTCCCTCTTGCGATTTTAATATTCGATATTTTGCTTGACTGCGACAGGTATTCTTTGTAAGTACAAATTTCATTTTAAGATTATTCATCTGAACATATATAAGCTCGTTATAAAACCATGTGTTATAAGAAAATATATTTGTTATAGTAAGCACATAAATGTACATACATCCAAAATACACATTGTATTTAAAAATAAAATAAATGATATTTAAACAAATGCAAATCAATCTAATTTATTTAAATGTCTGGCAAGTAACTTTAGATATTCTATTTTCAATAAATATCAAATAAGATACTCGATATTAATGAATAAAAATTTGATTGGACGTTCTCTCTTGCGATTTTAATATTCTATATTTTGCTTGACTGCGACAGGTGTTCTTTGTAAGTACAAATTTTTTTTAAGATTATTCATCTGAACATATATATACTCGTTATAAAACGATATGTTATAACCATATGTTATAAGAAAATATATTTGTTATAGTAAGCACATAAATGTACATACATCGATCCAAAATACACATTGTATTTAAAAATAGGAACCAAATAAAATCTGGCAAATTTGATTTAATGTATTATCAGTAATATATTATATGTCATTACCCTTTTTTGGTCATTAATTTATTTTATCTTAAATCTTATTTAAAAAATTGCTATAATAATAATTATTTTATTGTATGTTATTCGTGCATTTGTACTTTTATATTCTCCACGGAGTATAAGATTATCTACGTTTTATATTATTGATTAGATACGAAATATCATAATTCTATCGGGTTCATAGTTATATCTCTGCATTGGGAACTTTTATTTTTTAATTTTCGCACTGATGTTAATGCATTTTTACGACTTTAATCATAACAGTTCGGACAACCTTGGGTTGCTTTTAGTTTTCAATGAAAACTATTCGCTGTAGGTTAAAAAATATTACTGCAATTTCTCTCTCTCTCTCTCTCTCTCTCTCTCTCTCTCTCCCTGCCTCCCCCCTCTCTCTCTCTCTTTCTCTCTATCTAGGCCGCCCTGCACAACCACCCGTTATCCTCGTTTTCAGAGAGCCGCACATATAATGCTATCCAATCAACTTAATCCGCAGTATCAAAGCATTTGGAATCCAAGCGGCCTGATTCGAATGTTAATGAATGCGGGGAGCACGTTCTCCTGGGGGTTTCGGGCGATTGTATCCAAACAATTCGTTAGTAACTAACGAGACCCTCGTTACCGGCTACGTGACGGCAAGAATGATTGGAGTAAAAAGCGCGAGACAGTGAGTGATCTCTCTCTCTCTCTCTCTTCCGAGTAAGCTCAATCGTCATAGCTTAAAACCGAACGACAAATCCCATTCCGTCCCAGCAACAGGTTGCACTCGACACTAATTTGCGAGATTGTCGTCCCGCGTCCGCCCAATTAAGACTCTTAAATCGACTTTGGACCAGTTTCTTCCGAATGCAAGATCGGCGTGACTGGTAACAGGCGACAAATCGCGGTCATAAATCAGCATGTCATTTTGAGGATATATCTATATACAGATTGTTACATATTATTGTTTTAAACAATTAGTAAACTCTTCAGAAATAACCAAGTTTTTCTGGAAACAAAGAGCGCGTTTATAAGCTCTCTTATTTAATAATTTTAGACTAGCACTGAATGTACCTTTGTCGTTCGCGAATTCAATTTCTATCCTTATTGAATGCATGGCACAAAGCGCGCATGTTCCCAAAAATGTTGAGATCAAACGGGAAATTGTCGGCCTCGTCGCTATTATTTTCTACGAGCAGAAAAGCCGACTGATTTTCATACTTCGCGAGCGAGCAGCGGCGCCGCGGCGCGGCGATCGTATTAAAAGTTGCTGGAATAGTTGGGCGAAGCGTTTACTCGAATACACAATTTAAACTTAAGCGGAAATGCACATCCTTACTGGCCGCAATCCCGCATTCTTGCCATCGCAACGGACCGTCGAGGGAAGGGTTGATGGAAAGGGCTGGTTCGCGCCGGTCTCTCGCGTGAAGTGCGCAAGAATGCCAATCTCGGCGATAGAACGCGAGAAGTCTTTGGGAAAATAAAAGGAAAACTCAATAGAAAGAAAGAAATGGAAGGAAGAAGGAAAAAAGGGAAACTTCGCCGAAAATACCCCGAATGCATGTATAATATTTATATAAAGACTGAATCATGCTACGAGCAGATTCTGTATATTCTGTTATACGCGGAGATATATATGCAACGAAGATACCAAACATATAAGAGATATTATCTTGACTCAATCAACACTTCTCACCAAGTTTTACGTTACAATTTTCCAATTAATAAGAAATATGAAGATTTAAGAGATACTTTTAAGCGATGTCTAAATGGCGTTGTGCAATATATTTGAGATAAAAACATAATTTGTATATAATTTTTCGAGGAAAGGTTTGTTTTTGAAAAACTTTTTGTCCGGAGTTAATAGCTTTACTCGTAACAAATTTATATTTTTTTTTCTCGGTCTACTTTTATATGGAGGTATATTACGATACCGTACTGTACGTCCAGCGATACTCGACGTTGCACGCAAAAATAAAAATGTGGGAGGAAAATCCTGTGTAGTCCACTTTCCATGATTTACCCCGGCATACGCGCACACACAAACATGTCTCTCTCTCGGTGTAGGTGATATATATATACGCATGCCCTCGCAGGCACAGTATCCGAGATAATTTGAATTCGCCGAGTGGAATATAATTTAATAAAACTTTACCGCGTGGAATTCGCATTAGCTACGCATTACCTTGGCTCTCCTCCGCTTCGGTTGCTTACTTTTACCCCCGGGGTTGTTTTCGTAAGCAAACAAATTTCTTTCGTAAGATTTACGACAGTCACGATGTTATGTCTGACAGCATTTCGAGAACTTCGAAATAATTTCCTCTTGGCCTTATCGACTATACGTCCACGTGCTCCATTATAAATAATTGCTGATTCGCGCGATCGGCGTAGAATATTTTGATACTGTATGATAAATTTGTGCAAATCTAAAATGCAAAAGATACACGGAGAGAATTTTTCGTCATGGGTATTTTACCGTTAAATTCGCTAAATGTGAGACAAACTTGGCAACCAATCAAATATTATCGGTAACAAGAGGAATTTTTGACATATACAAAAGACATTTTACAAACGTAATAACGTAACAAAAATTACCAAGTACATTGATAATTTTTGAAAAATTTTATATTTTATTATAATAGATATTAATATTTTTTTATTATGGTAGATATTAATCAGAATAGCTCGCATAAAATTCTTCGTAATACATGTTGTCCTACAACTACCGTGATTTTCAGGATAAATTCTAAGAGAAAATTCTCTCTGTGTACATACTATTCGCATTTAACATTGTTAAAATCGTTTTATTCTACATCTCTTTGTCAAAAAACGAGTAATGATTTTTCGATAACCAGGAAATATTCAGGATAATTGCAGAATTGTCATCGAAAAATTTATAATGCTGCTCAAGCATATGGAATATTCAATGTTTTATATGAAATTCAACATGAAATTCAGTTCTGTATTAATCTCAGTGCAATGAAATTGGATATACATCGAAAACGCACTACAAAGGCGTGATTTAATATAATATACTCATGCAGAGTTTCAAAATCGCCCGAGATCACCCTAATAATTTATATCATGATTATGAGCATTCTAATAATTTTATAAATCGTAAAAATTGCAATATTAAACAATATACTATGTATATTAAGTATATCAAATCGACAATGTCAAGGCATAAATAAATGTTGTGCAAGATAATCGCTTTTAGATAATCAATTATTGCGGACATACATAACAATGTATATGCGCGATCAATGAATAATAATTATACGATAAATCGAACACGATCAACTAATAATAATTATACGATAAACTGGACACTCTTCTTCTCTTTTCTTTCTTTTCTTATTGTCATTCGTTAGTTTAAAATAGATAGCTATTAATTAGATTTTTTCCCTCTTTAAATGTGATATTTCTTCACATATCTCAGTATATCTACAGATACTAAAAAAAGTACTAAAAGTACTAAAAAAAAGTGTCACAATTGTAAAGTTAAAATAACTACTATCCCTCTTTTTCAATTTCTTTCAATTTCTATTATGAGAATATCCTATTTTCAAATACGAAGTCCATGTAACGAAATCTTTAAGTAACATTGCTTTTACGCGACCTCAATTGCCGGGAAATCAATACCGGTCATTCCGAAATAAACGTAACATATATTCTCGCCAATTTTGCGAAATAATCCGCTGCTTGGCCGTTATTACTAGATGTCATCGCACAGTTTTGTTGGCGATTTTGCTAAAAGCCCTTTATGACGCATATGGAGATTGCAAGGAGATCAGATCCCGGAAAGCGTGATCATCCACCGACTACAGCCTCATGCATATTCCAAACTGCACTCGTCCGTCAGCTTGGAGAGCTCACTTTTGGCACTGTTGTATTCTGACTGCCACATAACTCGCATCACGTGATTGCCTCTGTATATGCGGAAATGGTTGCTCTGGGATGGTTTTGCTTTAGAGAATGGAATGCTATTCGGATAACTAAAATCGCCGTTCATTAAACTTTAATGAATAATATCGCTAATGCAACCACACAGTTCGTTGATGTAATATAATAATCTATATTGAGAATAATTATTTAAAATTATCTCATGTAAAAATCGTTTCTTTGTTAACATCTTGCAGAAATAGGTTGTACTGTCTATTCGACATATTGCGTCGATAGAAGAACAATCCATTCAACCAATTTTAATCTTATCAAGAATAATCATGTGTATAAACTTTTAAATTTATCGTATATATCCACTTTTAATCATCGTAAATATTTCTTTAAAAATACGATATCGTGAAATAATGTTTGAGCAACAAGAACATAAATCTGCTGACGATAAAAATCTTTTCCCGCTTCTCTCGAAGCCATTATCATGGCTCTTCTACAGTTTTGGCGTCGACCGTAAATTTTTGGCCGGATGGCATTCTTTAAGGCTATGTCGGCCCCTTTTTTTCGATGCTCTGAAAAATGTCGTTCGCGAACAGCGAATTTGCGGAAAACGCCGACGTCGTCGAGGAGATCAAAAAATGGGCTCTCTCCCTTTATGGGCGAGATGGGAATTTCGTCGCGGAATGCACACCATTCCCCTATATATGAGGAACATTTTGAATTAAGAGAGATTACGTGAAAACGCATACTTGCGCAGTTATTTGGCAAACAGAGTATCAATTTTGACTATAAATCGACACTGTTTACGTGAAATAACCAAGGGTATCGCTTTCGATGCGATAATATGACAGCTATATCATTCTTCCCTGTTATTCCGTTTTGTTCGCATTATTAACATAAAGTTATACATAACGTAAAGTTATACAGAAATAAAAAAAACTCATCGCTTTAAATACGGTGTAGTGTAATAAATCCCCCTCTTTATATCGCGCCGTATTGATCGTCATTACAGTCGTTTAAAATTCCAGCTATGCAGCGAAAACGTATAATAGAGTAATATATCATAAGCGGTGCAACGTTTTCACAAAAATATGAGAAACGCATGCTATGCTATATCCTTCTGCATAATGTAACATAACGCTATTGCCGTATTTTGTCACATGAGCTAAATTGTGTGATATCGGATTTGCAATATGATATAGAGCAATTAATCCTTTGATTGTGCAACTGATCGTTTTTCAACAAGGTATGTTAAGAGCAACTGATTTAAATGAACAAAAAGCTGTTGTTTTTTTTTACATCAGCGCTATAAAATAGCGATTCTGAATAACTATGCGATATGTCATAGAGAATAATAATACTCGGTTAAAATATATTCAACGATTCTGTTTAAATTAACAACACGGTGCTTGCACGTAATACGTGCCGTTTGCACGTAATACATACAAAAGCACGAAAGTCGGAACTTTTATGAAGCTAATACGCAGTTGCCTTGAGTTTCTAAAGTCGTGCACGGGTTTATCCCTCACGTCCCGAGCATATATTTAACGCTGCAACGCTTATTTGCACTGAAAAATCGCGTAAAGCCAGTAAAAGCGCCAGGAATGTCGCAAAGCTGCTCACCTCTTCGCCATATTCGGCAACGCCCGAAACATTTTAACGCTTTTGGAAATATTTATCCATTGCATTTCTCTGTGACATATGTACCTTTCCAATACAATTAATTTGATTAATTTTGCTGGACAAACACACGTGTGTTTCTAATTTAATGAAAACGATTTCAAAATTTTCGAAAATTATTTGAAACATAGTTCGTCATTTGTCATTTAAAAAAGAGAAACTTTCTCGATATCAATAAATATGGTTTTAAAAGAGAATATTAAAAAAATCCTGAAATATATGTAACTCACAGCTTAAAAAGTTATATATACGCAACGAGTTGTCAGAGCAAAATGTCGTCGCGAGTTGCAATTGTGGCAAATGTTGTATAGCGAGAGGGACGGACTTTACGCCATTCACGTCCTCGGCTTTCGCTCCGGCATAATCGCGCCGAGACGTCAGAACCACGCTGTGATGTACGGGCGCTTGAAATCGCCCAAACTTTTGCATAGTTAACGTAAATATGTGCAACTTTGCCAGGGGAAGCCTACCAAAGATCGCCGGTCGCCTTATCCCTGTCACGTTCCGCGCGTAGATTTCACGCTCTCGCGACACCACGTCTCGGCGCACACATGCACACACACATGCACACGCACACACACACATACGGGCCGAAAAATCGTCAGGAACGTTAACCGCATTTCCTCGCCCGAAACTCGCGAAATCCGCTTGACCCGGATTCCGACTCGCCCATAAAGCAAACCGTGTTCCGTTCGTCGAGATAAATGACGGCTGAAAGAGCGCGCAGAAAAATCGCCGCGTAATCGCATGCGGAAAAGCGCAATGCGTATCGCTGTCGACGGAGAAATAGATTGCATATCATCAACGGACGCAAGTTTCGAAAATTACACTTGAGAATTTTTAATCTCGTTCTCTAACTGTTATGTTGTGCTCTTAGAAACGAATTAATAATTCTTCTCTATGACATAAAAGGTAATAATATTTGCGTGCTTATGCTATTGCGCTCAAAATAGCATATATCAATTCCGATTGTAGTACTATTTTCAATAAAGAGTATTAATCTTCTGGCATACATTTAATTGGAATTGAAGATCTTTGTAATAAAATAATATAACGACGTTAATTAATAAAACGATACTATTACATGTTTGAATAGTAGAGTTTCTATAAATTCATAATTAAGGTTCAACTCATCTTTTAGAGAATTTCTACAACAATGCCGTTCTTAAGAAAGCTTATGTAAGCAAAAAAATAGATATAGCTGCGTACATTTTACATTCTAGAAAAACACTGCTCACGAAATGTTTCCTCTTAACTAATTCTACGAAATATATAAAAAAAGATTCTCGCAAAGTTGACGACTTTATCGTCGAGAGGGATGCAGGAGGTGTGACGGGACTGATGTGTCTTACGGCATTTTAGTGCAACAGATGTACGGATCGAACGGAGCAAGCGTCGGTCTACCAATGGGCATGACCACGCTGAAGGGCACAACCGGTACACTGGGGCCCCTGGCGAACTACGGCTCGGGGATGGGAATAACGGGGGCCACGACCCTGCCACGGCCGGGAAACTGGCTGCGCCCTGCGGGCCTCAGGCTCGGGCACAGCGCGGCCCGGGTCCGCCTCTACTGCCAGGCAAAGTGAGGAGCCATGGTTCCGACAGGTGAGACATTTTTCATATATCTCTCTTCTATTGTTTTTGCGATCAGAAAAAACCGCCGCGTTATTACATTTGCTTTTATAATTTTGTAACTGTTCGTATGTAGTATACCTCTAATAACCTCTCGGATATTTGTACGAAATAAATGCAGTATTCTCTTTCTAAAGAATTGTAAAGGAAGGAATCATAAGTTATCAAGTTATCAAGAGGAATAAAAAAGTTATGAAATTATTAAAAATTTTAAAGCTCTCCAAAGTACATCATATCTTCGAAAAAGACATTATCTTTAAGCGCTTCTATTAATGATTGAACTACTTTAATTAAATAGAAAATAAATTCTTATGTATTATGTATTTTTTGTAAAACAAAGCCATGTATGTATTGTTAAATATATATATTTTTTCATTTTAGCAAACTATACTAACAACGACCAGCAATCACATTGCAATAGATTTTAACGTATTGTCATGTACGAACAGATTATATAGCTTTTTTTATAGAGAAGTGAAAAAGATTATCATTTTTATAGTGTTCAGATTGGAATCGAAAGAAATCGGAGGAAATGCGCATTTTTTATTGCAAAAACGATAAGTCAGCCAATCGAAAAAGAGCCGATCCTCTTTCCGTTGCATTATACAACGTCGTTATTGATTAGACCCTCGAAAGTTTGTTATCCCTTCGTCATTAATTCAAATAGCGATAAGATCGTGTGAGGAACGATCGATATAAGATATGTAGAGAGTTTTGAATTATAAATGTGTTATTAATGGATTAATCAACTACAAATTTAATGCAATTTCTCATGTCAGAAAAAATATTTATTTTATTCGAAATAATAAGAAAATCTATTGAATATTGATACGAACATATGTTCTCATGTTTATGTTCGTTTATTTCACAATTATCGAAAAGACATTGAAAGAAGATTAGATTCAAATATTTAATTTAAAACTGAAGCTAAAAATTCTCCTATCGAATAAGACTGGCTTAATTATTATATCTAATTGTTATAAAGTGTACTAGTGTAAAACCATTTAGCATCTCGTGACATGTTTTCCATGTGTTTGGTTTAAAATATATCTTGATAAGATACACAGAAAGTGCTACTTATAATCTTTATCTTCAATATCTATTTTTTACATGCAGTTAACTTTAATTGATACATATCTTCCTATTGTCTTTCAGTGACATCTCCTCCAGCCAGAAAGACGAGTGGTTTGTGTAGGTGAGTTAAAAATTATGGCGCATCCGGCAATCACACCGCGATTCGCTCGTTCATTTCGTTCTCTTTGAAACACGAGCGTAAACCTGTGCTCGGTGGAACTTTGAAAATTTCAATTACAAAGAGTATGGCCATTACCATTGTCGCGATTACGTGGTCCGCCTCGGGGATGGACGTTCTGTTATGCTCGTATATCAAAGACTCTTTGCTTTTCAAAATGCAATTACGAGGCAATCAAGCCGTTGAATGTCAATGTTAAAAAGTAATACCTACTCACGTACACGTATATCTCGACATAGCTTCGATATATCGACTGCTTATTTGGCTTAATTTCATTACCTATTATGTCGCTTTCCACGGCTATTTCGAATAATTACATGTTATTATTATGGTTATGGCATAATAATTGCTTTTGTATATTACGAAAAGATAAGCGTGGTATTTCATAGAGAAATCACATGTACGCGGTACTTGCAATAATTAAACTTTATTAAGTCTTACAAGATAAAGCAAATTTCATCACAACAGTCAAGTTCCGATACGCGGCTTACAGATTTTTAGAGATTGTTTAGAAAGTATGTGTCAATGCGTAAAGTGCTGAACGTGCATATTATAATTATATTATGTTATGTTGAAAGCATAAAGTTATCTCGGGTTACTTCTGTACATCATGTATTAATTAAATATGTAAGTTTTAATGTACGTGGAATAAAATAACTAATATGAGAGTCAGAATCGTGAAAGTATAAAATACCTCGTATTTACATAAAAAAATAATTCTCATTTTATACGCGTTTAATCTTATCGATTTTAATGTGAAAATCCAGCGTGCATATGTTCAAATATTACTCTTTAAATATTACCAATTTCAATATTTCCTTTCAAAAGTGAACAATGTTACGAGCGTTTATAAAATACGTTGTAATTTGCTATCATATATGCACTCTTAAATTGAAATTTAAATTTCTATACGCGTGCTCAATATAAATATAACGATCTCGCCGTAATTTCAAGAGAACTAAATGTATACGAAGAAATGTGACATGTGTAATACATTGAGTGTCACCATTAATTACATTTGATCCTTCAATTCTTTGTCTCTTTGTAGCTTTAATTACACAAAAAATTCAGAATCAATTAAATCGAAATTAACTTCCATTGATGTCGGCGAAAATCAGCGATAAATCAAACAACGTGAATAATCGATTTGCTTTTGTGTCGATAGAGGCAGGCCTGGACCAGAGCCCGCAGGGTGAATCGGAGCGGTGGTGCCCTCACCGCCCCTGGGGGACGGGGCGACGCCAGACGTCGAATCGTCTTCTGCTGATCGTCGGTCGCGTGTTATCGGCGAACATCGAGCCACAAGTAACGCAGACGCAATTCCTAATCATCTTCTGATCCTCCCTTAAGCATCGTGGAACCGCACCGGAAACATGACCGATACGGACCGAAGGAAAACGCGGAAAAATTGAATTTCGTCGCGAAGAACAGATGTCTAAATCCTTTTTTATCTCATTTTGCAAAATTCTACGTTTTGCCAGAAGAAATTTCTGTCACGGGATTATACACAGAGTATTCCCGAACGATGAAGGATGGTTAGCTATTATGAAAATAAACGCAAACAAAAACAAATGGGGGGAAAAGCGAGAAAGCAAAATCGATATTCCGAGTCGACATTCGCAAATTTGTTTGCATCGCTAATCGAGCTATTAATGAAGTAAACAGATTTTTACGATGATCGAACGAGCGTTGTTTTCGTAAAATTCGCTTGAAGAGAATGCGTACAAATTGTTTACAAGGGACGGAAGCGGGATAGCGTCAACGTAATGCGAGGCGCGGACACGCGGTCCGAGAGACTATTGGACAAAAATTAATTGCAAACAGTATGAGTGGGGCGTCGCGTGTGCGTACGTATGCGCGAGCGTGCGAATGTGAATAGAATGGAAATGATAAATGCACGCACATAGCAAAAGGGAAGAGAGACGGGAGCTTCGATCTCGTGGTGCACGTGTGCGCAATGAGTTTTCGTTACGTAGCCTAGTCACGTAAGTCAGGTGTTTCTCGGTGTGTATTCTGTGAAGCAGTAGAGAGAGAGAAGAACGCCGTTTTAGTCGTACGGATCGCATCCGCTGTTCACGGTAACGATTTTCGCGGGAGTCTTCATGAACCCGGCATTCTTACATTGCAATTGATAATTGCACTGCGATTTATTAAATTATATAAATAGAGTTATCTCAGTGAAATAATATTTAAAATAATAAATAATTCCAACTCATCTCTATAGACACGTGTGTATCAATAAAGAAGAAAAAAATCACAACACAATGTACATCGAGTATTAAACTGCCAAGCCAACTATGATGGCGAACATTCGGGTAGATTTATAACATTTAAAAAAACTATATTAAATTATAACAATGTACAATATCTCCAGGTATTTTTTAGCCGTTATACAATACATAAAACATTATCCAATAATTTTTGTTTTTATTCGAAAGAGAAACGTCAAGAAAAAAGGTTTCCACGGAAATTCGTCGCATGGAAAATCGTTACCGTGAAATCGTTATGTACACGCGCGCGAGTATTTGACGCAAAAGTGCGCTTGAGATGCGTTAGTGCGTGTTGGCCGACGGAGCTGTAATATGAAATTGCAATCTATCTCATCCGTAGGAAAAGATTCGCGATTAAAGTTTGTTTTCATCATCTCTTTTTGTTTGACAATTAACATCAGCCAAATACTGATTAAGTTTCTCAATAGACATGCTTGTTATATATTACATAACTTTTTGCATTCTTTCAAATATTTAAAAGAAACTTTTTTACTATAAAAGTCAAATATATTAATTTCAGTGAATAAATCTACCAGTCCATTTTGTCGACCGCTATATTTTATTCGTTATCCAATGAAAGACTGTGCTAAAAAGCTCTCCGGCGCTGCCGTTCGCGCAAAGATTTCTTTGGATATCATAAATCAAGAGATTCTTTCTTCAGCGACTACACTAGTACCTCGTGTAGCTTTCTACGAGGACAATCACTTTCCTCCTCCGCTTCTGAATCGGCGAAGCACGAGCACAAAGCGAGCGGATACTTCGCGAGCGTGTACTTGTAATATACTTGTATCTACCATTAGCCGTTCAAGCTTTGTGCCGTTTCCATAGATTACGAATGCGAAAAAGAAAAAAACATATACATATGTAGAAGTTATAATGACGAGAGAGCGGAGTGAAGAGGTAAAAGAAGATTGTAAAAGAAGAGAGTAAGAGAATTTATCATTAACATAGAGAAAATTTTAATTTCGCGACTTTAGCGCATAACTCGCGTCACACTGAACGACGGAATTACCGATTATCACGCGTTTGTCACGCTCGAACGTAAATTAAATAAAACTTTGATCGAGAAACGATTACGATAATAAAGATATTGAATCTTCACGTTAAAGCAGAAAGTTATTTTTGGTTATAATTAAAAAAATCAAATAATTAAAGTAACATAATAATTAGATATAATAATTAGAAATTATTTTTGGAATATGTCACAAATTTTCACTTTTGCAAAGCTAAGATAAATTCGAATTTATTATACCTATTGCATATCTGTTAATCTCCATTCGAGCTTCATTACACCAAATCAATCTGTGACCAATAATATCGATTTGCGTGCAATCTTTGCAAGGAAGAAATTATAGGTAACTCGCGCATCAATACTATTTCATACTTTGACGAAAACATATCCAGAATACGTCGCCGATTTTACGTGCATGACGAAACATCGGAATATCTTCATTTTTACTGATTCATGAAGTAGCCTTTGCATAGCTTCTGCGAATCTCGCGTGATATAATATTTGATCGGCATGCATATCGACGCCGCCACGATTGAGACATTTACGAATCGAGCCGACAGACTGTAAATCAGAAAAGATGCGATTGGTCAACGTTCCTCGTTACCAAGATCATTTCTTAGATCACGATATTTTCCAACATGTTCGTCCTTTTCAGCTCGGCCAAATGCTATTATTATTCATTAATTATTTCATCATTACAATGTTAAAATTATTAATTCATATGATAATAGAATGCAATCAACACAATAATGCTCACAAGTAACATCTTAACAAATACTAATGACAAATTAATAATCTGAGGTGCAAAATCTTTTAATGAAGCATGATAGCACGTGCTGTGGCAACTGAGCTGAAATGGACTCATAGAAATATAGTTTCTTTGAAGATAAAGAGTAGAAAAGTGTGCCTGGATTATGCGGAGTTGATTTAAATGATCTAAGCTAGAGAAAACGAGCGAATGACGACAGTATACGTGCGAGAGGAAAAATAAAGGAGAGAGAGAGAGAAAAAGAGAGAATGCGAAGAGCGGAAAAGGATTCTCACACGATTAATATTACTGATTAATATTAATAATATGCTCATTGAGTGTACTATTTCATTTCTAATTATAGCTTTTCACACAAAAGCTGTAATTAACCATACTGACTGATGGTGATAACAATTGAATTTCAAGGATTAATTTTTCGAGATCGTGTGAGCCTCCACAAATGTAAATGGATTCGCGCGGTCCTTTGTGGCTCGAAGACCACGGTTATAGGATAAGCGAATAGGAATAGGTAAGAAATTCCGATTGTCGGATTCGGACACACGTAAGCTAGCTGAAACTGCCATGAACAGGACAGTGAAAGAGAGGAAATGTATGAGATATTAGTGAAAATTTAAGTCTGGAAAGGAGTATCGTATAGTCTTAATTTAAACAGTTCGCGGTGAACTGTTAGATACTCGTGAACGATTAGCGACAATTAACCTGTAGCATATTTAAAAGACTTTAGGAAATTTTCGAAGTTATTACTTAAATTTTTCAGTACATTAATTGAAATGGCTGGAAAATCATTGACATTTGTTTAGACTCTTCCGTAGTCGATTTAATTGCGGTGCACGCGAGATCAATGGAAGAGTGTTTTTCAATGAAAAAGGAACGATAAGAATTTTTAACACGTTTGTTAATAAGAATTTAATATGAATGATATATTTCTTCGCGAAGAAATCGTAAATGCGCGTTATCGATACACTCGCGTAGTCATTACATTCGATACAACAGTGCGGAAAAGGGATTGGCGCGTTATCACGTCGTAATGTCTCGTCCAGCAGATATATACATGCGCCGATTAAATGTAATATATTTCCAATGCTGTCTAAGCATTCTCCGATTAGAAATATACGCAAGAAATGAAAAGAACTGAGTCTATTCATCAAATAATCAAAATATCTGAAATCTCTGTCCAGCGATATCTTTTTATTTCTTGTCTAATATTTCTTGGAATAAACATTTGTATGAAGTAAGAATAATTGTTCTGGGATTATCGCAAAAAGTTTCAGGATGTATGTTAATTTAAAATGATCAAGCCGACGACAAACGCCAATCACAAAAGGCAAATAATAATTTTATATTTAAGTACGCATATCAAATTAAAATACCATATCGCAATCTGCATATCACAGCAATCGACGCGTAAATTCTTTAATTTTATCAATATAATCTTTAAATAACCAATTTTTTTTGCACAATTCACACGACTCAACGAATTGGTAAAGCTTCGTTCGGCGTGGTCGATCCATTGAGCGCATTTATACCGTGTGTACTTTCAAAATCAATGTACGTATACCTGATAGAGGCAACTAAAGAGATAAGCTAAAAGTGGAACAATTTTGGGAATGTCCAGAATACTCGTCTTCTAACGATTTAGAAAATACGAGAGAAATCTAGTAGTGAAATTTCGCGTAAAAAAAATGTATAGGATAAAATGATTCTAATGTATGTAACTTGTTGCATAACATCGTGCGATATTCCGTAAAGCATCCCACGAAAAGGATAAATCTTTATTAAATATATACATTTCTACTAGTGCAGGGTGAGAGAGCCTATACTTATAATGCAGATGCAGACACTGATTATTTTCTAATTTATAAATATACGTCGCGTACCGTGAATAATTAAAAATTCTTTACTTTGTCTGTTTTATGTTACCATGATAGACTTGTGAGAATCTTGCATTAAAACTCGTTCGTACTAAACAAATTTTATCGCATATATTCCACGACAAGTTCTTCGTTTACTAGATTTCCAAGCTCATTGTAGCGCGAAGATTTATTAATTAAAAATTCACGAAATGAGAATAGAATGTCGCAGCGCGCTTGTATTTCTTGAAAGTTTAGAAAAAAAACTTAGATGAATCTATACAATATAGATAGACAGATGTGTTGGAAAAGCAGAAGGATTAATGAATGAACGCGAGTGTATGGTGTGATTGCCCTTGGAAATTAGCGATAATAATAGTGATAATACGAGATAGGGGATAACGAGAAACGGGATAAAAATTTCTCTATAGAATCAGGCGATGCATTGTCCTCTTCAATTAATTTCTTCATAGTACTAATTATTTCTGTCATTTCAATATAAGCTACTGAATTCTAATATATATGTATGTGTGTTTGAAGCTTCTAAAGAGAAAAATTATGGAACATTTTGATAATATAAAATAACGAGCAAAAAATATGACTGAACACTTTTATAGATTTGACATTAGATATAAATCAAATAATATCAAATCTATGAAAAAGGTGATTTAAGTAAATTTATAAAGTTTGCATAATATTTGGTTAAATTTATAATTTCTATTACCAATCGAAATTAGAGTAAGCAACGTTCACATTCGGTAAATGAAAGATGGAATACACGCGTGTAAAACGAGGATAAAGGCGGTCTCTGTCAATTGCAACTTGGTAAAGAAGAGATCTACCCCGTACAAGTTCCCGTAAAAGCCGGTTTTACACGTTGTATCTCTACAATTCGTATCGAGAAATACACGAGTATTATCATCGTTGTTTAACGATTAATAAAACCATAAACTATTTTGAGCATGTGATCGCATGCAGCAGAATTTCGAAGTTAATCATTCTATTTTACGTCTTATCTCACAAGATTTTCGGTGAGAAATTTGAGCAATGCATCGCCAGACTTTTTTTTCGAAACAGATAATTCAATTCCACTCTTCGATAAAATCTTTCGAATATTGGGTATTTTATGCAATATCTAAATCAGTACGATCGAAATGATCGAACTGACGCGAGGCATGCGTGATAATCCGAATAAAACAAGATTTCAATGATGTTAGTATAGTTAGTACGAGGGGAGTATTTTCACGGATGTGGGTAACGTTTATGACCTAAAGCGAGAAAAAGATGTAAGCGGACAATAATAAACCATTTTGGACACGATTTATCTCAGCCTGCAAGATAGTCGAGCTATCATAACGAACAGAATTCACTCACAATCAGTATCATTCACCGCGATCGCCATCGAGAACATGGAAATACTCCCATCAAAAAGAGTCTTCAGCATAGCACTTTCTACATTCTTTGCTGCGGTTAGCATGTTAAGAGAACATCAACTTCAAATAAACTTTCGAGACTAAATGTTACGTTGGGCATAACGAGCCGTAGGTTAAACTTTTTATTATTTTTATATTAATTGAGTAATTGTATTCTCAATTGACTGCAAATTTCGACGAAAAAAGAAAACAATATAAAAACGTGCACGAAAATGATAATTTCTTAAAAGATCTGACCACTAAATAGCTAAAAATAACTTTAACAATGCACGTTGTTGCTAAACATTTTATTCGATAATATGCCTCATGTAATTTAAACTTAAATAATAATATCATTGTATCAGACGATTCATTAAACTCTCAGTTCCATTGGGAAAAGGCTGCTATTGAACATGTATCGTTCGTTATTAATCATATTAGTCGAGCACGTCATAGTACTGTCATCTCCGAGAATATTGACCATCATAGAGATCATCGTACACATAATACGATATTATAGTGTTCGTACTTGTATAACAGGACGTTTCCACTCTCGAAACTGATCGAACGCTAAATTGATCGAAAAAAACAAGAAATCTCGTATGTGATATTTGTTACTGAAAATAATGAAGATAAGTTGTTGCGTAATCATTGGCATAAAGTATAATTGGCTTGAACGAATTAATAAATTTAAATGTAGAATAGATATTATATATACAAATTTAATAACGCGACTTTTACTTTACGAGCGATTGTTGTAATGTTTTAGTATCATATTTTATCATTTTGCAATATTTTATTGTCACAAAAAATATCTAGAAGAATAGGGATAACTTTTCATAAATATATTCATTTCACTAGATGCAAAAAAAAAATAGATCAAAATTCGCGTTGGCAACTTCGAGAGTACGGAGCACGACATAACAATAAGTAATGGGAAACAATACAATAATTTTTCATACTGTTTTTACTTTTTACTACTATGATTACGTATCTGTATAATCTTATTCTTATCGTATACTGTATATTTAGCCGCGGCGCATATCAAGTGATGCATTCTCCGACGCATTTTAACAGTGCCGCAAAAATTGTTCTCCGCAGGATTCACAGTCGAGCAAATGTTAAATTCAACGAGATAAGATTTACCGAGAATGTAAAATAATTACATTGGAAATCTACAACTTTGCGCTACTAAGGATCGGTTAAAGAGTTCGATAAATCACGGAGATAGGAATCTAAAAATCTAAAGATGCAGATGTTCCGAGATCGGCGAGATATGTGGGGTCCAAGAATCCAAGAATGTGATCCTGTAATCTCAGACTCTAGGAAGAATCTAAAAACCGTCAAATATTTAAGGATCGAAGGAAGGAAAGAATTTCTCTCTATCAAATCTATCTATTCGAACATTTTCAACGATATCGGTATAAGATACGATTTATATATTTATATATTTGCTCCGAAATTTTTAAAATGTTTACTGCTGAACTTTTTTTATCGACCAAAGCTGATTGCTCGCTGTGAACTCGGTAGAGTCTATCTTTTGCAACAATCTGTACTGTACACGCGTACCGACGTCACATCTTATACTCTATAGTTTGTATCTATAGCAGTTGCCGAGGATTCTCGATTATAATATTAGTATAAAATAAATAAGCTTGCGTGTACCGGTGTGCATATGTTTCGTGTGCTTGTATGTACGTATGCGACTCGAGAGAGAAAGAGAGAGAGAAAGAGAGGAAGAGAAAGGAAGAGCGATGGCTCTCGCGTGTGTATTTATCTCAAGAACGGTTCGCAATCGGCGTGTAATACGAGAGAGAAAATATTTCCTGATCCTAACGAAGAGAAAAACGGCGATAAGCGAAGCTTTGCGCGAATTTCACAAGTCTTACGAGATCAGATGCGAACAAGGGGAACTCGCGTATTTCGATGGAGATACACCCTGTATCGCGTCAACATGCTTTCAGTGTAAATTCTTTCATAAGCTAGATTTCGATACTCCTGATAAGAAGCGCACAATTGAAAGAAACGAATAGTTGCGCTGCGATTTCTGCGCATTTCCATCTCCGAGAATTATACAACACAAAATTGTAATTACGAAGCAAAAGCTCTCGTTAAAGTACAAATCTCCAGGGACACCGAACTGTTATTTTATCGCTCTTTAAAGGCTAATAACTTTTTTTGTATTATTTATGCCTCACAGGAGCTTTGAGCAATCGGGAGGATTTAATAAACTCCTATATATTTAAATTTTATAAATTCTAATTGTCTGATCTAATTCTTCCGTCTGAACTTTCGTCGATTTAAATTTTGTTTCGTAAATCGCGATCTCGTGTAATAAATGCAATAAAAATAATTCTTAAGTCGGCATTACGTCGATATACAATTTACAAGAGCTTTATATCGCAGCGTGCAGAATCGTAATTAGCGCGCGATATCGCGAAGCTTGTTAAACGATATCGTAAGAGTTGTTTAACGAATTTTCTATTTGATATTGCACAGGATAATACCATGTGTCGTGCGAGCGCTCTTATGCAGATATCGCCGTCAATTATAAAACGAGAGCTCGACGAAATGCCGGAAGAAAAGAATACGAACGGTCGATAGGCTCGATGAACGTAGTTTAAGTACACGTGTTACCATTATTTACTTGTCATATCGATCCGCGCATATCACGTGTGTAACAATAAATGAAGCGAGAAAAAGAAAAAGGAAGAAGCATAGACTGCCGTTGGACTAAGCGTCACAAATTCACATAATATTGTACACACTTTCATACGATTTTTAACATCCGCGAGAATATTACTGATCGATTTTACAAATCGCGCGTCGTTCGAAAAAAGTCGAACGAGTAGTGCTCGTCCACACATATTCGACCGTCCATCGCCAGCAGGACGGGTCGACACATTGCCAACGGTTTTTTCAAACGATATCGTCCAAGTGCTTGAACGCTTATCCGCGAATTTCCACTTTTCCGGTTCTCCTTATTCGATCTCAATCAATCCGGTTCTCCAAACATTATTTACCTGAATATTATTTCTCGGCGACTATATCTCGAAATCTTCTGGCATTATTTTTACTATTTTAATCGTGACTTCGCCATTGTGACTATCAAAATCGATTCTAACATCTCGTTAAAAAGAAATAAAATTGAAGTATTTGTCAAATGGCAAAAGAATATTTCTATGTATACAAAAATTAATAGATGAACATTTATCTTGCAATGAGAATCTTTATTGCTCAGTAAATTTATAATTCCGCAAAATTAATAAAAGCTCGATTAAAATACGATAATACAATCTAGCTATAAAATTTTTTCTAAAATTAAAAATGACTTCCCGATGAATAAAACGTAATTGTCGTTTAAGACTTATATGATGAAGGTTAGACTTTAATATACACTCTGAGCGATGCAGAAGTGTCGCTTGACAAGAATTTAGTTGCGTTTGAATTATATCTGCTTTATCGTGCAAAATTGAGCAAAGGACTGTATAAAACATTTTGCAATAAAATATTCAGGAGAGCATATGGGATAATCTCAGGTTTTATCGCTCGGTAAAAATTCCGCAAATATATTTTATCGTGAAGCACATGTGAAATATGGAAATTCGCATAAGCGCGACAGTGCGTACGTTACCTTTTTGCGACGAAGCGACAGGTAAGCCGTTCGAGAATCGCACGATCGCGATCGAAGCGCGTCTCTGCAGATGGACTCGATAGCGATAGCAAACTATTGTATACCGATTAGAAATAGCGCGAAACAGACGCGTTCTTTCGATTGATCGTGCGATTGATCGGCTGAACACAATGACCATGAGCGAACAACGGGGAACTTCGAGCCGCTTGATATAAAATAATTCAGCGCTTAAAAAGCCGAAAGAGAGGAACACTAATTATATCTCCGTAAATATCCTATAATATATTCAAAACAAAAAAAAAAAGATAACCAAAGCATTGTAACCTTCTAGAGGCAAAGAAGAAATAGCGAAGTACCTAATCTTGTATATGATTTAGTTCGACCACTGATTTGTCCGTGTGTGTTCGTTACTGAAATATATGTTTCTTTAGTAAAAAAATTTTGGAAAATTTACATACTCGTGTGTGTTCGTGATTTCCCCTTACTCAATGTTCCTCGTTCCTTTCTCTTGTCATACGAATCAATGTACAAGCAAATAGCAAGTTGCGTCAAATTTATTATTTATTTATTGAATTCAATTCTCAATAAGCGGAAAACATAAAAATGTCAACAAGGAAAATTTTACGTAACTATCATAAGATTTTATCACATTAATACCTTTTTTACATAAATATTGAATATCACATTTAGAAAATATTTTTAATTAATTAGAAATGAAAATATATCTACTCTGAAGTAAAATTGTATATTTTATTTAAAAAATAAAAATTTAGATATTGCTGAACATTCTAAACAATATGTTTTTCAAATTTTACGTGAGTTCAACGAAAATATGACGCAACAACACTAATAAGCGATTGCCCAATTAATTCACTCACCGATTGCCGCCGCCGCCGCTGCTGCTGCTGCTGCTGCTGCACTCCCTTTCCAGTTGGCCCTGGAAATATAATAAATATAATTATTCACATATGCAATTATTTTTTATTAAATTACTACTTTATAATTAAAGATTGAATGAGATTGATAAAATATTTTCATACAGTATAGATTTATTATATTCCCTTAAATTCCAAACACAATATTTTAACTACATTTTTATTTCAAACGTAGCAAAATAATTACTACGACAGCAAAAAATAAACATATTTAATATAAAAATATTTCATATAATTATGATAATTCTATATAATTAAAATTTTATCGTGTATAATTCTTTTTATACATAAATACTATATATTATGTTTTATAAATTTTATCAACTATGGAAAGGTTTTTTTTTTATACTCAACCCTCTGTCTGTATACATTTTTTATTACATCTTCGGAGTGTATACGTTGTCACGTTTGGCGCTATTTTTCCCTACCTTAAAGTATCTATTTTAAAAATCTGAAAAAATTCACAAAACACCTGTCTACACTAGTCATTTTGATAAACATCGTTTACTTAATATTTTCTGACAGGCTTGCAAGTTTTACAGTTACGAGCAGATATCATTTTGGCTCGGACGCCACGGCGTCGTAGACCCACGTATACAGACGGAGAGTTATTGCGAAAAAAAAACGCAAAGATTTCCAAAGAGATATGATACTTAACAAATAAAATAATATATTAACCGAGCTATTCCGATGCCGTCTTCTCGCCGAGAAAAGTTGCGCCGACATCTAGATCTCATCTCCTCGAGCCACGCGTATTAATAACGATCGCCCGATATTTTATTCGGCACTCCCGACATTGCGCGAGTAATATATTACACACGAACCGGAGTAAGGCGGGGAGGCGCGCCGCGAGAGTTGAACTTGTCGCGATGCAACAGGTAGTGACGATGCACGACATAGCACCTTACGAATGCGATTATTTCCACGCATCACACCGCCACTCGCGTATTAGAAATGATCGTTCGCAAATATTCATCACTCTCGATATCGTATCTACGCATAATTCACACTTGAAAAACGCGAAAAGTACGGAGCGTCCTACCCGGAGCGAAGTAGCGGCAAATATGGCGGTGGGGTGGTGCGCGGTGCGGCGAGGCGACCCGATAGTGGCGCGACGAGACCGTTGGCGGCGCCGCGCCGGCGCGTGACGTAGCGTGACGTAGGGTGACGTCACGTGATCCACGGAGAGCGCGGTAAGACGAATTTGAATTAATGCTCGCGGAAATATGACGCTGTAAAGTAATAGTTATTATTTCACGATAATCACGGGCGATAGTCGTTTTTCTGCTTCAATCTGAATACATATCGCGCTTTGACATTCTTTATCTATTTAGATATAATTTGCGGACGATTTTAAGATACATTGAACTGTATAATGACTTGCTTATTCGCGTGTTATCGTGCAAAGTGTTTGTTTTGAGTTTGACGGTTATGTCGAAAAAACATTTCAAGAAATGGACGATAAACGCTAGTATTGAATCGAAAAAATCTGTTAACATTATTTAATAAGAATGGATAATGATTTCTCGCAAACCGGCTAGTATTACATTGATAAATGCGATATTTGGAATAATAAATTATCAAAATAATATTTATTACGCCGTCTTACTTGCACTTCTTTACACAAAATACAGAATAACCACGTGGAATTTTCATTAGATTACTGAATATTCATTGAAAGATAATCGCCCCTAAATCGTGCGCGGACGTATACTAATTTGAACAAATTTTCATTAATTAATGTCTCATTAATTATTGAAAAAATTAGTAGAAAATTACCCTATTCAATTTAACTCGCTCTATTTATCCACGAGAAGCGACAAAATCATTACCAGAAATACTGTAAACTATTTTTTGAGATTTAATGATTATAATTATAATTTTATTTTTAAACATTTAAGAACGTGTAAAATCAAATTTTGGAATAAATTAACATTACATCCAGAATTCAGTTTGTATTCTAACGAAAGAACTTATTGACATGATCTGACAGGGACGATCTACCGTCACGCGTCGGCTAGCATTATATCGACTAATAAAATTTTGCATTTATTATGAAATCCGTTACCTACGATCCTGTTAGTCTGTGGTGACCTACCAAAAGAGTGAGATCGCTGAAATCAAAGTCGTATAATTTCAATACACAAAGTAAGTTTGTAAAAATATAACTCTTTAGAAATATAATATATCGCCGTTTGAAAAATAAGTAATTGGAAAATATACATATGTATAATGTATATACAAGTGCATTATTACATTATCAAAATCGTCTTTTAGTATAATCGCCGCCTAACATCTATTCGCTATTCGTACTGATAAACATATATACACTATTTGCGTATTATAAACATTAAGAAGTGTGCAACATATAATAAAATTATATAAAAATGTTCTAAGATTTGAATTTAAGTAAGTTAAATAAACAAATTCTCTTTAAAATTTCATTTTATTGCAATAATGTAATAAACAAAACCGTCAATATATACATATAATAATATTAAAGTTGAAAATGTTAAGTGTCATCAGAATATGTGTGTACGCAATATATTCACTTAAAAACTTTCTTTCAATTCTTAATGTAATAATTTTTCATATAATAATTTGAATGGTATTTAAGAATAGGTAACTAGATGCTACTAGATTAGTATTAGCTGCTACTTTTTTAAATAAAAATATCCCTGCTGATACTTGGAACAAAAACTAAATCAACATGAACCTGGCACAAATAAGTAGCAGCTTAATATTCATTACTACAATAGCTGCTATCTTATCATAGCAACAGCTAAATATTTCCAGCATTTCAAATGACGATCGATTATCGTTAAATGTGATCCCGATGCACTATGATATACATTTAAATCTAATGCTCGTAAAATATGATTCCAATATTGCACAGCCGTCATATATAAAACAAGAATATATGGCAGTTTCCTTCTTTATGGCGAATCCAATATAACCATCCAAATTCGTAGTAATTCAACGCAAAATATAAAATTCCATGTATCAAACCTGGCTATAAATCAAGCGGATATTAAATTGACTGACAACAATAACAGAATTTATACAATAAAGCAATCTAAATATAATTGTAAAACAGAGTGGTGTTAAATATTCGATTCTTCGACATATTACCTCGTGGAAATTACACTCTGAAAGTAGAATTTTACGGTCAGATTACAGATAATAACGCAAAAAGCATTGTCAGTAGTTCCTACATAAACAGAGAAAAGAATTTAATGTAAGTAAATGTTGATGTTAGACGTTAGACATACTAGCACAAATCTATAACGTAAACAATCTCTAATATTCAAAAACAATTTTTGTGACAAATAGAAAGATTTATACTCAGTTCTATGCTTACATATCACTTACGATACAATCAAAATGTTTAATTAACTGCAACTTTCAAGCTAGCTGTATACTATATTAATTTTCAATTATATTACTTTTGAGCCAAAATTATACTATAACTAAAAATTTTTAATATATTACATTATTTAAGGCAATTATAAATATTATTATATTGTGCTAGATTGTGTTGATTGCACCACACATGCAAAAAGTTGGAGCCCAACGATTTTTTCCCTGTTGGGATGAACCGCACTTAAAGGCCACGTTTAAAATTTCTATAAAGCATCCTCACAAATTTACAGCTATATCGAACATGCCAATACAAGAGAGTTATATGGATAATATGAACAATCACTCAATGTGGACAAGCACCAATACCACACCAATACCATCCTTCTCCTCTCACTTTAAACCCTTTGGACCAACGGCTTAACGTCTCTTTCCGAAAGACGGAGCCCAGTTTTCTCCGCACAAGGGCCTCAATCTTGCACGGAGGGGCGCAGCTTTCGGAAAAACATTCCATGGCTCTAGTGAACTCGAACCTGGTTCCTCAGATTACGAGTCTGGCGCTCTACCACTAGACCACACTGCCGCCCTATCGACGTCTGTAGTATATCTATCCATACTGATAATCATATATGCATTATTTGCGTAAACACTAAGATTATAACGATTATAAAAACCGTTCGTCTCATCGTATTAGAATTAGGATACAGCTACTTCGATGGGCACAAATACTTGGCGCTTTTTTTTACTTTTTTTTTTTTTAAGTACTTTATATTCGTTAAACATAATTCTGAAACCGATTTTGTCGTTGAAAGATGAAAAACGTTATACTTTATTTATTGAATACACTGAATACAGCATCATGTCGATAGAATGAAAATGTACTGCATATTCTTCGAACAAACTATGTACAATTGTAATGTTACAATAAGATTAATAATCGACTCGATTAACCGCGATTAACATACGCGATAATAATTAACAATGCTCAAATCATTGTCTTACGTAGTCAGGATCGCGATTTTGTTTCGTCGTTGAGATGAAGTTAAAGAAATTTTCAACATTACGATTGCTACGATTATAAAAACCATCTCATCGTATTAGAATAATTTGAGAAATTTCCAAGAATCGGGGGTACAGACAACGTAAGGTAATACACATATGTTTTTTCATATCTCAGGCATGCGGCCGTTATTGTTTACACATAATAATGCTCGCCGCTTGCCGGGTAGTGAGGGTGGGGGTGACTGCGCGGCGCGGGCGCTCCGCTCGGTCAGCTCGGTGGTGACTCGGCGTTTACTTCGCTCAGTTCGCTCGCGACCTTCGTATCGGGTATGTCGGAGCGTCACCCGGCGCGGATCTTCCCTTCTCTCGTCTCCCTCCGTCTCTCTCTTTCTCACGCGCGACTAGTTCCTCAGCTCGGAATTTCGGAGTGATCTCTCTCTCTCGGTTTAAGAGTGTAGCACCTGTGCCTGTGGACGGAAGAAAAGACTGTTTCATCTCACGCGTTCTACGCTCCTACGTGCGAGATCGCAACCACCGGTAGTGGCGCGTCGCGTGGTGGTTTCTCGTCGTTCGTTTCGCGCGCGGACAGCAGAGCGAATACGCGCCGGTGAGAAATTCCTCGTTTCTCACTCGTCGTCGGGAGCAACAAGTGAGCCCGTCGGGGGAAGTGTCTCGCGCCGTCGAGGCGGACAGGGCGGACTTTCGAGCGAACGGCAAATTCGAAACGCGCCCGTGCGCGTTCGGCGCTAAATTCACGTGGCTCGGCTCCTCCGCGGCGCGTTCGTCGGTTAAGAAACGACGCCGACGTCGTGGTGACGACGAATATCGCGCAGGGAGTTTGCGGGGAGTGCACGTGTACGTCGAGAATCGATCGCGATTTCGGGACGCGCGTCAAAATCATCGGGATCGGCGCAACGGATCGGAGGTGACACGGAGACGGAGCTCGGCGCGTGGCGTCGCTCTGAAGTTCGCCAATGGAGACGAGATGAACGCGGCAGGAATCGCCGATCCGGGAATCTCGTCCCACGCATCGTCCAGAGAATCCAGGGACTCACGATAACCGTCAGTGACATCGGCGACGCGGCGACACGAGAAGGTGTTTAATAAATTCGCTTGATTTCCGCTCGCAATCCGTCGCGAGGCGATTCAACGTGGCACGCGACGGCATGACGCGAATCGACGAATGACGAGTGCCGGAGCCCGGAGCGGAGTGAGACGGTAACGAGAACGTATAAGTGATCCGGGATCTTTGTTCTCTTTAATTCTCGCGTTCGACGATCTACGGTCTGTGTGTGAAGTGCCCCCCCCCCCTTGTCAATGCTCGCCTTTGTTCAGTGGTATCAGGGAATTGCGGGAATCCTCATGGGCCATGGCTGCTGCCACGAAGAAGGGACACGCGGGCAACGTGACGCTGCGACGCATCCTCGTCGTCGTCCTCTCGTTGATCCTGACCGGCGTCGAAGCGGCGCGCGGATTTAGGCACAACCTGAAGCAAGGTAAGCACCTGCTACCCGCTGTCGAGTGTCTCACTCGTGACTCGATTAATCTAGGCTAGTCTGGTTCAGTGTGTTTAAACCGCAATATTCAGCGTTGAACAATTTTATTGAATAAGAATAGAAACATTTTTATACTGTAACTCAAGTTTTTTTAAACGAGATTTTTTTTATTTTGAATTCCATAATTTACAAGTATTTTATGATGGTTGGCTCTTTTCTTAATTAAAATCGTTTGTTTCTCGAAGGAAATAATTATGAATTTCTCGAAGGAATTTTAATTTTTGAGAACGTTGAAGAAATCATGGTTTAGTTGTAATTTTATAATTATTTTTTTATAGAAATGATTTAAAGAACACTGATCCAAGACAGGTTTAAATGCAATAAAGACTATTAAGAGGAAATAATGTAAAATTATAATTTACATACATTTAAAAGTGATGAGACTTTAATGATGTGAAAACCAGATGTAATAATCAGATCGTTGAACTTGTTAAAATAATATATCTATACTTTTATTAAAGTTACATTTTTATTAAAGTTACATTTAATATTTTACCCAACATTTGTTTTAATCGTGACATTTTATTTGAAATGGAATTTTCTTTTTGCAAAAAACGTATACGTATCGGTTTATGAAAAATTGAAACTCCATATATCGCAAATCAGTATCTACAATTGTATTTTTTTATTTTTTTAAACAGACACCTTTTTCATTGTCTGACGCGATTTATATTTTTATTCAACAAGTCTTTTGAACTTTTATGACACGCTTCGCAGGACGCGAGCTTTATTTCCTCTTACATATGTCTTTTAAATGCAGATTACGATATCATTGCCGATGCGGCCACTGACGTTATGGCGCTCGGATTTGCATAAGACGTAAATATTACGCACACGCGTGGAACGCAACCATTTATCCGTAACATACTCCGAACATTATTCAAATCGGTAACACAAGGTTATCGCGATTGAATTTTACTGGGAGCAAACTGCCCGTTTTTAAGAGAATCAATCCTGTTTTATGTCACATTGATAACTATACTTACTATACCATATTTATCCTGCACATGATTTTTTATTTACATAGGTAGAATAAATTGGTGATCGTAACATATGGTCAAACGTTATTCGTAAATTATTCGAAGCTTTCAATCGCAAGTGTCTCCGATGCGACTCATGATGATCTAAAAATAGAAACTTAAGGCCATTGCACGTAACAAAGTTTTAGTCATAATCGTAAGGCCGTAAGAAAATAGACCAATCACACTTGATTATTCTTCGAGCTCAGGGAGAATAATCGACTGTGATTGGCCTATTTTCTTACGGCCTTACGATTATGACTAAAACTTTGTTACGTGCAATGGCCTTTACATATTTCGTTAATAAATACATAAGTAATTATCTTTAACTTCGATAACGTCCACCGTTACGCTTAGCTTCTAGCCTTAAATGTGCAACTGCACCACCGGTATTTCGCGAGATATTTTCTAAGCGTCTCCGTCCGGCATGGAAGTTAATTAATCGATACACCGCATTAAGTCCTGCATGGATTGCACTCTCGAGACTACTCACGCGATCCGCGAGTATAATGACGCCCATGCGATGCTGCGCTACGTATACTTACCCTCGGCGATATTTTCCCGAGATTAAATCTCTCGCGCGCGGTATGCGTGCGGCGCTTCTCGCGGTTTTCTGTCGCGATAACGCGTAATCTCGCTTCTTAAATTTCGACCGACAGTTTCTGGCGTGACACGAGGCGGAGGCCACGATCGCCGATCGTGTCCCGGACGCGGTGCGTGTGTGCGGTCTTTTAAGATATATATTGTCGAAAATTCCGACCGAATCCCGCGCGCGACCTCGTAAAACGCGCGTCTCTGCTCCGAGAATATTAAGCGTCAGGACATTCCGCAGCCTCCTTCCCCTCCACTTTGGGGAGCTCTTCGCTTTATATTTAGCGACACGACGACGACCGCCTCGAATCTCCACCGGTGTGTGGGGCGCACCGCGAGTGCGAACGCACCCTTTTACCTCGTTACTCCGGGGCGATCAAAGGCGGTCTCCCGGGGCTATCGATTCTTTCATATATCGGCGATATCGCGTGGAACGTGCGCACTCGAACGATGAGTAACAAAAATGCCGAGAGACAGGAGAAACGCGTGGAGAGAGAGAGAGAGAGAAAGCGCGAAGAGGGTAAAGCGTTTCCGGCCGGTGTAATTTAATGTAATTTATGAGCGGCTGGACTTTTCCGCGGAGGATTTATTTGTAGATGCATATAAATAAAGGAACTATGTCGCGGGGTATATGCATGTATACATTATTTAATATTTGTTTGAAAGCGTTAATTAATTGCGATTAAAGATTTTGGAAGATGTGATATGTAGAAAATATTTTCTCACTTTTTTCAAGTTAAAATACTATAATTATTGTTTTAAAAACGATAAAATAACGTAATTTTTACCATAAACATAGTAATTTAACTTAAAATTCCTCGATGGTCCGCAGCTAGTGCGACACCATAGTAATATTTACTATAAAATTTTCTCCGTGTACTTTTGCATATTAAGTTTGTTCATATCTTTCAAGATAATTGAGAAAAAATTTCGCATGCTAAAAGTATCATTTACATATAACTTTTTTAATTTGATGGCGAGCGCATCGTTAATATGAAAATGCAAAAGAATTATTCGAAATTCCTCGGCGCGACAATGTATCACGCCGTTCTAGATCGTTGTGTTTTGATGACGTTCTCTTGAAAGTCTTCGACCATCCAGTGGCTCGTTTACGAGGTAATTAACAGCCGGTTAACGGCCACCGAGAATAATTAACTTTGGCGGATACACTTTCGTCTTTTGTGTCGTTTATGTTCTCGCCCGTTGTCTCTCCTCCGCTCTTCTCCGCACCTCTGGTCCTTCTTTTTTTTTCTTCTCTTCTGATTTTAAGCCTCTTAGATGCTCCTCTTTCAAGAGATAGAGGCCGCGCGAGAAATACATTTTTAATGACGCGCTTACGCGATGACTGTGCGGCTTCTCTCTCTCGCATCGATAAATAAAAATAACGCGTGATAATTAACGTTTTGCCGTCGGCTGCCTCTTCGACGCGAGATCGATCGATCGATCGCACACGTAGCCGAGCAGAGTCGCGCCGCCTCCGATCGGATCTGCAAGATATCGAGATCAAGCGGCGCGCTCGCACCAACCCGGCTTGTGTGTATCGCTTCCTGTTTCTGCAATCCAGCCTGATCGGCTCGTACACCGAGTGGCAAAAGCGAAATTCCACTCTGGAATATTGCGAAATGTTATTCCTCTGTCCTGCCGCGTATGTAGCATACAATACATGGCATATCATGCTTGCCATCGCGCTCGGTCTTGCTTTATACTCGCGTTTCAGTCGACTGGCTGAATGCTTAAACTCGTTTATGTAGATTTTCAGGATAAAAATGAAATAAAGTATACACATAAAAAATGTTGTTTAATAAAGTCGATTAGAAAGAGGTGACGTGACAGATATACATACAAATTAAAAGAATACTCGAATTTTTGTTTATTATTTTTTATGTTTTATTTAAAAACTTTTCTGCCAATATTTCTTGTCTCTTTATAAACAATATATTGTAATTAATAACTCGCGGATTAAATGATTTGTGTTTGGATAAATCATCCATTTTTCAATATCTACATTAATTGTTATACGCAATTTCTGGTTATCTACATATATAACTGACAATAGGTAATTTGTCATTTAATTTTTATCGCAGAAATTAATGCTCACTATATCATGTGTGTTTCCTCATGGGTCTCATTTCCTGTTTCTACGATGCAATTTTGTGGTTAATGATTAAAGCACCTAAAGCGATATTGTGTATGCAATTTGTTACGAGATGTATTTATATACATTGATCCTGTTTGTTTTTTTTTAATTTTATAATTTTGTAGCTGCATATATATATTGCACATTTTTCGCGTAGGTACTATTATACAATATTTTTTATATTATTATTTATATTATAACTTTTATTCGTGCAATACTTATAATAAGTAAAACTTTCTTAATCTCTATTTCTCTTATGAAAAACTGATTGATATCTAATGTTTGCCATATTATTATCTAATATTTTCTTCATAATTATCGGGAACGGTACTTTATTCAACCTATCAGATTAGTTCTTTCATTATATATATTGTGCCTTCAAAATTATTATCAGATAAACGGCGTTTGATCGCGCATTTAACATTTGACTCCGTCCGATATTGATGACTGGGATAATGCAATTTCTTCTCGCGAGATTTTTGGGTAACGCCAAGCCACGCGAGAGAAACGATATAATGAAGCAACTGGCTGAATCGAATAAAGATAAAGGGATAAAGACGCGCCGTTGCAGTACCCTCGAGTTGTCGAGGCCGTGGAAGGCGGTACCCGGACTCTATCTAAACGGCGAGGATTCGCCCGAGGGGGGATCATTAATTTAATTAGTTTCGGAGAAAGAGCGGATTTAATCGTTCGCTCCAATGGATCGACGTGAATGCTCGTTGTTCGGACTCGGCGGAGCGGGCGTTTCTGCTTTAACATCCGTTGCGTTTGATCAGCAGCTATCTTAAAGAGCATTTAACGGGGAAGTTTAAAGGAATATCGATGAAGTCGATTTATCGCTATCGGAAATTTGTCTCAATCGTGTCTCATGTCAGTCGGCATGCTTTCTGATTGATGCAATTCCTCTTGCAAGAAATATATGTTTCTAAAGGTCCATAAAATATTTATCTTGATTTATTTATTAAACGTTACTTTATTAATTAAAATATTGTAATTAATTACTTGAGAAAACTTTTTCTTTAAGATTGATATATAAATTGTCAATTATAAATATGTGTATATTAATTTTGATTTAAGTGATAAACGCGACATTTTATATATAGAAGTTCTAAGACGCTTGGCTTTTCGTTGCCTCTGCCCGCGCACTTAGTATCCTTGATCTCGAGGGTTGGCTTGCAACAACGGGTGTCAAT